AAGTATAAGTAAGTGTAAAACATTAATAGAAATCTATTACACTAACAGAATACTATAATACTATACAAATTAATATACAGACACATTAACAATATGTTATAAGCGTATATATTGCAGTGATTACCATTTACAAACAGCCGTTATAGTATTTACATAGAATTATGTAAGTGAGCCTGTACCCATACATACATACGTACGTACGTACAACGTGAAATCGTAGAACATCGACGGAATGCCAAATTAATATTCGGCAAAATGAATTCCAGTTTCACTTTTTAAATTCGAAAGTCAAACTTAAAATTTTTCTAAACTAGAAATTAATTTTATTGATTTTATCAACATTCTAATGTTTCTGTTACCGGTGCTGTGTGTTTTCGTAAATACCTCGTAATTTCTAGTGATGTTTGTATGTGAAAGAGATGTAGAGAAAAATATAATAATAGGAAACAAAAAAATTGTGAGAAAAATAAGTGAAAAAATTTATAGAAATATTTTATTGAGATTTTTGTATGAGACAAACGATTCTAACAAAACTTATCAACACATAACATTAACTTCTCCAGTACTTCAATAAGTATATCAATATATGTACTACTACTTAAAAAACTAGTAACAACATTAAACTTCCCGAAACCAACTTTACCAACAACATACGTCACAATGTAGGTACTAGATGTGGGGCGTATATAGGTTCAAGTCCTGTGCCGGTTGCGTGGAGGCGCGCGGGCGCAGGCGGAAGTGAGAACGCCCGAAAGAAAGTACTCGTTGGCAACCGGTCGTGATAGTAGGCCATCAGAGTTCACCACGGACGCTAGCTCGCTCGTATCACCGTCAAAACATGACATACTATGACTATCCCGTTACTGTGTAGGCTGTTGTCATTTTAGCCCTATATGATGAAATTAAAAGCATTAACCTATTAGTTGTAAATCACTGGGACTGTCGCTGTTCACTTTACCCCAAAAAAACAATAAAATAGCTTGGAGTTATTTTTAGGGACAATTGTGTGAAGAAAAATGTAAAGTTCGTTCATTCGCCACAAAGAAGAAATTTCAATTTTTTTTAATAAGAAAAAATCTTAAGAATACTTTTTTCTGTCATATGTTGTCCTGGATTTCAGATATCATTGGGTGCCTGCGTACAGCAGTGACCGTCTTATGACTATCGATTATGACGATGATAATTTCGGATGCATTACTGAAACCAGACTGAGGTCGTTGCAGCTTTGTTTGGAATCACCGAAACGTTTATAAACTATTAGAAGTAATTAAATATGTAGATAAGAAGAGCTTCCGTTGCAGTGTTTTCACATGAATATTAAATTATCTAATTAGTTTTGAAAGTAATTTAATTAAGGTCGTAAAACTAAAAATAGAATTTTATTCCCAGAAGTTACAATGTTTATCATGTTGCAACTACTACGAGAGGATATCGGCAACCACTTACATTTAACGACCCATAAACATTCACTTTAAAAATTAACTCATCCATTTTGAACCGAAGTCTATAATTAACTTCCAGATATAACTAACCAGTTAGAGGAAAGGAAGAAAGCATAAAATGTTAAAGTTAATCGAATTATATAATTTTGATCTAAGCAGTTATTATTAAGCGTAATATCGGAGAAAATAAAACCAATTATACGTCATAAATTGTAAAGTGAAATCTAAAGACAACTGCTTTGATTTTTATCTGAGGAAACTGTGACTAAGTATGCTTTTACTTAGAGTAAACATGACTTCTGTAGTTGGACCTTAGCCAATAAGATCAGAAATGGACGTTTGATAGCTTCACATTATAAAATGCCACCTACGAAAATACAAAGACAAAACAGAATTGCAAATCTTAATTACAAATTCACATAACAAACAAATAAATAAAAATAAAAGTTGATTTGAAAAAAAAAATGGATGACAAGTAATTAAACAATTGTGCTTAATTTGTGACATCATCGACATGTTAATGTTAAACATGTTTCTTAAATATAAAACAATTAGCACCGCCTCAAACTTCATAGAAACAAAAAAAATTCACATTCGTAAGTGAAGATAATTCCGGATAAATTGTTCACATTTCTGATTGCATGCCTTAACATGTATAGTCACAGATATCATCACTAGAAAGAATGCAATCTAAAAATAATCTGTAACGCACGAACACCAACACATACAAGTAAAACTATAAGTAATGTTATTGTAACTCGTGTGCCGTGAAAATAGATGTGTGACTACTAACCGTGAACTCAACTTAAAGTTATTTCATACAACGTAACGTTTTGATTGACATGTCATTATATTCCACTTAAACTTGACCTTCATATTATCGACTTGTTTGGATTGTGATTGTGAAGATTGCACCTTGTTAAATTGTATATCTGATCGATATTACTAATTGTAACCTACAACTGAATAGATTTTGAAGCCCAAATTCCAATTCCCAACGAAGCATACTGCTACATAAAAGTCTTTATGAACCAAGTTGCTGCAGCGCAAACTCAATCAAAAATGCAGTTACCCAAACCAATCATCTATACTTATAACATCGATATCGGGTTTAAATCTATAAATAAAAATCGATAGCCATATGTGTCAGTCCTAGAGGAAGTGAGGGACGACTAACACAAATATTGGTCGTAACTGTGTCACTTTGTATGCGAATACATTGACCTTACAACAAGTGTCGCGATTTGGGAGCGCTCGCGTAGCCTGTGACTGTGTGCAGCTATGTTGCGGTACAAGTGGGCTATAGGGAAGGTTGATAACTAGAAGAAATACAAAACCGTTGCACAATTAATCACTCTCTGGATAAAATTTTGTAATACAGACGCTAACTTTCAGTTACGTGGAAACAAAACAATAAGCACAAATCAAATAAATGATTATTTTCAACATACCTTATAGAATAAACATTAAAAAATAAATATATAGAAGATAAACATTGTAAAAAAGCGCTATTTGCTGAATCAAAAGAATAACTCCAACTTTTATATAAAATGCTGTTTGAGATGATAATAAATGTAGTAGTCTCGGAATGATTACAATCAGAAGTCAAACAAGCCAATGCTCGGAAGTTTATAAAAAAAACAAAAAAGTAAAGCTGCCTGCAACAGAAGCACCATGCATACACGACACGACCTCGTCAGTGTTAGAGACTTGGTTCGAGAGAAAGTCCTCGGGGTCCATTCACAAGGCGCATACAAATATTTGTGGACGCCTACTATACCAAAAACGAGTTTAGACCTTTCTACCTTCGGCCGATGTCGCGATATCGACCTCTATGGCCGGCGAGCTGACATTTTTCTTAATGAGCTTTATAGAACTATAAAGCATTATATCAATTACAGATTGGAATGACCGTAATGTTTTATTTTTAGTATCCTCAATTAAGATTACGGAGTGGACTTTTAAGTTTGTTGACAAATTGTCATTGCTTGAATTTATTTAAGGTGAATATTTAATTGATATCATTTTTATCTGTACATTTTGATAAGCTTGCTTTGACGATATATTTTATAGACTATCTAACTATCATTGCAGTAATAATAGTGTTGAAAACAATGTTTCAGCCATTTAATATCTCTACACATTTCTAAGCATTTCCTGAACTTTCTAGCAATGTAGATAAACTCGTATAGTGCGTCGTGACTTCTCATTTCCAGTTGACACGACAATGTTTATCTTAGATAAGTGACTCAGTATATTTTGTCAATTTCTAAAATAATTTCTTTTTATTTTTACAATTTTAAATTTATTTACTTGAGAGATTTCTACATCTATAGTATGGTTATAGTATATCACTTATGGCGATAGTAAAATGCAAATAAAGAGAAAAAACAATGAAAATGTTTGTACCCATTTGTGTCCGGAACAAAAGCTGAATAAATGAAAATTATAACACGTAAATAACTTGTAGAAATAATGTTCAAATAGTTGACTTACAAGTGCTTCAGGCATACTACTAAATTTTTATTACCAAAATAAGATTACTTAATAAAATTGAAAAGCAAGACATTACACAAGTTTTAGTAAAAGGAGAAAACTTATTTAGAAACACGTTAAGCTAACAGTAATAAAACGCTTTAAACTACAAATGGTCGCCATTAACTCCGAAAATATCAAAACGTATTAAGATTGACAAGAAATAAATTGATAATTTCTATTTTTAAGTAAATTGGTCGAGTTATTTAATAATACCATGTATGTAGTAATTCGGAATGTGCTTGCAAAAGTTATGATATGCCCATACGGAACGCCCAAGTTTTCGTTTTTACGTCACCTTATCAATGGCACTTAAGGCGCGTTTACACACATAACCTTTAGTGAAAGTATGGGGCTGGTCTCCTCATACTAATGTTCAAAATACTTAAAGATTCTGACACAATACACTGCTCGCACATTTCTCCAGTGAGACACGGCAAGTCCGTAAATATGCTGAATAAATTAATCATTTGGACCTAACCAACCCCTCTTGGAATGCCACAGATTATGAAATTGGGGAAAAACCGATTCAGAAACAGATAATCCATGATAAGTACCTAAATATGAATATTGATCGTCAATTTTGGTTTTCTTTGAATTCCTTTATGAATAAGTGAAAGCTCATATGACTAATGGTCTGTTTGCAATATGCAAAACATGTTCTGCTGAAATGATTAAACAAATGTTGCAAAATATTTAATGTCTGGAATAGCCAATGGTTAGGTCCGGATGGAACACAAAATTGCTTAATATGCTCATCTTAAAATCAACCATAAAATTTGATTTGATAAATCAATTAGGTTAAAAAGCCTGAAAATGTCTTGAAATTCATAAATTATGGTAGTTGTCAATTTCCTTAAAACTTTTACACCAATAACGCCTAAATGTATGTATGGAATATACATATTATATTGTATTATACGAAACAAGTAATCCAAGAAAAAATCAGGAATAACAAGTTTTAAGATAAAGTGTCACATCAAAAGAAAATTCGTTGAATAAAGTAAAATACGTAATGAAGGCATGGTGGACGACAGGTATAAATATGAGTACGTCTGCGTGTCGGTTGATCTGTGTCCCCGTCGTCTACCATCACTACTTTCCTTCCCTGCGTGTGTGACGTAACTCTATAAAAGAGTGCGCGGTGAAGACGCCGCCGCTATATCGTTTCCGCTCGCCACGCTCGGCCATAGCGTCCCAAACACCGGCATAGAAGGACGCGGGCGGAACCTCTTCCGCTAGAGCCCACACGGACTCAACAGTGACAGTTCAACAAAAGGTGAAGTGTCAAGGACATAGTGCATGTGATTGTGTTCGTGATAGTGTTGTGATATCGTGATAGCTACAGTGGGCTGGTGGTCGGGTCGGCACTGTCGCGGTCGCGATGCTCCCGGTGATGTAATTAAAGGTTGTGTTTGTTTCAGATACGAGATGAGGTCGTTGTTCTTGTTAGCGGCTTTGTGCTGCCTAGTGTTGTCGGTATGCGGTAGCCCTATCGCCCGACCGGAGGAAGAGAAGGAAGTGGGTAGGCAAGCTGCGGCTGCAGCTCCTGCAGCACCCGCGGCAGCCGCTGACGACGATGACGATGATGATGACGACGACGACGATGATGAAGACGTTGACATCGATGATGCATTAACAGGTGAGTTGGATATTTTTGATGATTACTTTACTCATAGTGTATCAAATAAGCTCATTTGTTGCTAAAGTGGTTCAATAGACGTCTTAATGATTGCCATTTTAAAAAAAATGCAAATATTAGAAAAAAATTACTATTACTTTTGCAATTGAAGAGATAGAGCCCAGCCCATAAACCAATAGGTTTACATTATTACATTTACATATACAAATGAGGGCATTTCAATAGATTTTAATTTGTAAAGTACAGTAAGGTTGTTAAAGATTCCATATTGCAAAAATATCGATACCTGTTTGGTTTACCGTTGAAGTGAGCAGGAGTTCTAACGGTAGATGCGATAAATACATCTCGTGTAGCATACGCTGTCAGCGATAATACTGCATTAGTAAAAGCACTCGAGCTTAGACTCTTAATCATTGATAGAGAATTTATTGCGTTTTACAAAACACCTGCATAATTACTCTGCAAATAGCATGGTAATGGCTCGTTAAATGATTCAGGCATAGCTGAACACTTTACAGATCAATTTGCAATTATAATTTACGACTTAATGCACTTGCTTTTTCTATAGATAGCTTCTCTGATATCGACATCCAATCTAACTTAACTATCTAGGTGAATTGTTAATGTCCTGTCAACACTGCAATTACTATTCAGTTTGAACAATTAGGTACAAAGAAAAAGCTTAGAAAATATATGAATAAATAATCGATAACTCCGAGCTATGGTAAAAGTGTTACGATTTATCGATAAAAATTCCTTAGAATCAGGACGCGGCGGGGCCAATGTGGAATGTGAGTCGAGCAGCGTGACAGGCGCTCTCAATCGTTAATTAATTCAAACAGAAAGACTCAATCAGAGAAATTGACGCTCCCCTGCTTTCTCGATACGAAAGCCTCGCTCAGGACGTCACGCACCGCGAGACGTCGTCGGCGCGCAGCTCTTAACTGTTTGTTTAACAGTTCATTTGTGCTTCAGTATCGATAATAGTGCTAACGATACGTGTGTATTGAAACGGAAAAAATAAGTGATATGTGCCAATAACTAGACAGGTGTACAGTTTTAGACAATGTCATTGCCCTAGTTCATGCTTTTCAACGAAACAGTGTTTTTATTTGATATTGTTTATCGCAGGTGACGATGATGACGACGATGATGATGACGACGACGACGATGATGATGAAGAGGCTGATGACGACGATGATGATGACTACCTCGAGAGGTTCTTCGATGACATCTTAGGAGGAGGTAAGCACTCGTTAAATTTGTACGATAAAGCATTACTTTCAATTATGGACAATATTTGTCAATAAAAATTTAAATCTCGCAGAAGAAGACGATGATGATGACGAGCCTGCTGCCGTCCAGCCCGTGGTAGCGCCCGCCGACACTGTTGCGGCCGCGCCTGCTGCACCTGTCGCTGCTGCATCCGCTGAGGATGTCGCCGCCGTCGCTGAAGAGGCTGCTGAGGGAGAAGCAGAGGCTGTTGAAGGAGAAGAGGGAGCTATCGCACAAAAAGAGCCCGCCAGCGCTGAGGTCGAAGCACCTGCTGAAGCCGCTGCTGAAGTTGCTGAGGCTGAGGCTGAGAATGAGGAGGATGATGATGATGACGATGACGATATTGGCATTGATGCCGTTGGAGATGACGACGACGACGACGATGACGATGATGACGAGGCCGAGGATGACGATGATGACGATGACGACGACATCACCGACGCGCTCGGCAGGAACATCTCCGCTAAGAACGCACGTGAGTCCAAAAAGCTGAAGGCGAGCGTCGCGGCGTATGCGAAAAAGGCCGGAAAAAAAGCCAACCATCTGGGTAAAGTAAAGAAAACCAAAGCGACATCCGCCGCGGCAGTCGCCGCTGAACACAAAAAGTTCAGATAGTGAGTAGGCGGCGAGATCCCGGGCGAGCCACGCCCTCTCATCCACCTGACGAGACCTCCACGGTCCTCTCCTTTAGCTTAGCTATTTATTGACTATTTATTTATGCTATTTATTTTATTTATTAAGTGAGTGTGTTTGATGTGTGAAAGTGTAAGTATGGTACCGAGAAAGTTAAAGTTAAATTAATGTCTAGATCATGTCACACTGGTCTCGTGGCAAATTATTTGAAATAAATCTGTTGTTCTAATTTATGTGTGAAATTCTTTATCATACCTTTGCGACGATTTGTGCGTCATAATTGTACACAATATATTTAATGTTGTACATGACTAAATTTGTCGTACATCGGTCAGAAAACTAGTTGCCTATTCTATCTCGGTGTCAACTACTCGAGTGACATTATCTAGTAATATTAATTTAATTTTGATTGTTGTAATAAAAATGTATACTAGTCAGCTTCAACTATTTATGCTCCTCTTACCCCGATCCATAACTGTAACATTATGCTGTAGACTTTGTTCTAATATTATGCATATATTTAAATACTCTATCTCCCATATTATTTCCATAGTACATTTACGTAGCAGTATTGTATGTAGAAATTAAAATATAGATATAAATAACTAGCCTTTTGACCGATTTATGTATGTATTATAACGCACAAACATCCTCTATCCTTATAACATCCGTTCCTTGAATCCTTATCTGTAGCATAATTATTGTAAGTATCTGTATCTAAATCAAGATTTCACTAATGATAGGTACCAGGGTTGTATCTTTGATAGAAATCTTGAGATCCGTGAATGTGTCGGGTGCGCGGCCGCAGCGAGCAGTCGCTCGACAAGGAACTAGTTCGGTATATGTGTGTTAGGAGGCCGGTCGACGCGGCGTCCACCGGCCGCTTACTTTCTCAACCGGAGCTCGAGCGATGAACCCGCCCGATTTCTTCTACAACCTTGACACTTTCTTTGACCTTGCTCCGGCCGCGCCCAGGAGTGACCTTGACGAAAATTTAAGTTATATTAAAAATAACCGATAGAAAGTAAATCGGCCTAAATGTTTACTCTCACTTAATGTCGAAATCCACTGCAAAATTTGCGTGTCGAACGTCCGGCACAGTGAAAACAAGATAATGAGATGCGAAAAGAGAAATTTTTAAATATTTGTCGTCGTGAAATGCTGGGAGTGTCGCGAGGAGTCATATGTGACCTGAATGAAACTCGTTTAGTGTCGACCATATGGACACCTGTAGTGACTACCGACCCGGAATATATCACGTTCCTGCTATAGAGATTCGATGCAATCATCAACATGTCAAAATTTAATATCATTTAGAATGACCATAGCGACGTTACTAGAGATTGCGCAACTACGCATTTTACAACATAATTGTTATTACAAAAACACACATGCACTGAAGCGGTTTTGTACATTTTATTTATAAAACCCAGGTAAATAACAGAATTGAGTGTATCCCAAAGTGTGTCTGAAGTGGCCCCGCGTCGTATCAATGTATGCCGTAATTAGATTTCTTCGAATGTGCGTGGTACGGCACGCAGTTTCTTTTACGTGTGGAAAATAGAAAATCCACCGTTGACTGGGCGTATTAATTGTGAACGACGATTAGAATTCAAGTGGGGCTCCGAGAGACCGATACAGTTAGCTTGCGTGCCAGTATAACGTGGCTAGAATCAGGTGTAGGATTCAGTTGAATAATTATTGAGCGTACGTTAGGTACACTTGCACGCAGACAAATAATTTAGGTCTACACCATTAAAGCGACATGAACGTGACAAAACGTTACTATAGAAAGAGAAACTATACCTTATACAATGTGATTTAGAACACCCAATAATATAATTAGACAACTAATTTAAAATAGATATTACATTACATACAACATTATAGAACAATGAAACAATAGCAGAATGTAATAATGAAGTAAACAGATTAGGCTGATAAATATTCTTACCTGAACCGCGCAGAGCCGGACTAGAACAAAACAAGAGATTAGCATTAAATTGCATTATAAGCTACGGGAAAATAAAAACGATAAAATAATTAAATTATCACTTATCTTTTAATGTAATAACTGCCGAATATATAAAACCTCTTGTAACGATAATAATGATGTCCTCTTGATCAATCACGCGTCACAGTCATTATTGACAGATAAATACAAAATGGGTAGGTGAATATTTACTGACGTCAGAACCGACTACCGTTATTTAAACATGCATCCTTTTACTCATTGGATTAATGCAAATAATTTTTGTTCTTTCATGTAGATATGGTTTGTCCCAATATTATAAGTTTTAGATTTTTTATATTTTTTAAAAGTACTTACAAGACCAACTTACCCATGAGCTACAATAAAGAACGGGTCTTAATCCGCTCCTAGCTTCTTTAACATTAATGGATCTAACACATGTCTAAGTGTCCATTATGTCTACCAATGCTGTATGTTGAACATTTGTGTTTTCCCTAAATGAAATCAATATCAGTCTAATCAGTGTCATACAGCAATTAAACAAAGCTTAATTAGCTAATAATTTGAGTAATGATCGAAAATAGATCGTGTTACTTTAGCAATACGTATTGCAGTTGTTTTAACTAGGCATTGAATTATTGGAGTGTAACAAATGAGATACGAAACAAAAAAGGTTTTACTTTTGCTAATAAATGAATGTGGATTCTTTGCTTGTATAGAAAATGATTAATAGGAAATGAAGCTGCGGTTTTTGCAATATAGTATTCCAATCACGTTTTTGAAAGCCAAACCAATGTTGTGTCAAACAGAGACTTTCATTTAAATCATTCGCTATGCCTGAATATGTTTGAATAGATAGGTACAAACGTACATTTAGGTATGCAACAATCAGGTAACATGATACAAAGTAAATCAAATTGTGAAATAAGAAGAGCAGAACTTTTTTCAGTTTGTCTTTACCGCCAATAAATTTAACAGGCGCTCTCAGTGATGAGACCACAAAGAAGCCGACGACAGTCCCCGCTATCTACATCGTCAAGTACAACAGATTCGTTGACAACATCTTGGAGAAAATGAACGACATTCTGAGGACATCGTACGACCCCGTCAGTGTCAAGTTGCAGCCAATCGACGCCAACAAGAAGACCTCCAAGCCAAAGAAGGGTAACAAGACCAAACCAAAAAGGTAAGAATTTTATTTGACCTCATACATTCGAAAGGGAGAAAGTAAAAATATGAAACTTGGTGACTAATTCAGACAGTGCATAACACCAGTGTTTTGTTTAAATGACCCACGAACTGACTCAACGAAATAATACGGATACATATGTCATTATGTAACTTATTTTCACTTTTAGGAAAAGCTCAAACAAGAAGAAGAATACAGCGCGCGGCAGTGAAGCAAATAAAACCAAAGAGAAAGCAGTATCTGAGATCCCAGAGACAGTAAAGGAAGAGATTACTCAAGTTAATGATGTGAAGCCTAACGAAGTAGTTGGAGAGCAGACTCCTGTTGCGGAGGAGCCAAGAGCAATTAAGGAAAAGGCTTCAGAGAAAGCCAAGCCTACAGTAACTAGGAAGCCCGCTGTAAAACCACCTGTTAAAGCCCCTACTAAGGCGACGAAACCCAAACCGAAACCAACGAAGACTACAACAAAGAAACCAGCAACAAACAAGACCAAGAATAAGACTAAGACTTCGGAGAAGAGCAAGCCAAGGGCAAAGGGAACGTTATACGGCCTGTCATCTTTGAGGAGGACTGGAGATGTATCAGTTAGCATCATGGCTGACCACACGACTGTCAAGAGTAACTTTGCTGTTGGACCACTGATACTCAGAGTCGAGAAAGAGGTAAATGACTTAGATTTTGATTAGAAGTGTTTCTAAACTCAATTTTATGAAATCTTATGCTAAAATGATTTTATTTCTGTAGGTTGGCCGTGGAGCTAAAAAAGACATCCGATCAGCCACAGCAACTACAGCTGAGATGCTGGGAAAATTAACTCTGAGAGTAAACAACCAAGGCGTCGCTACTCTGCATACCATTAAGGTTCTGCAGCCTAAACAGGTAATTATTTATACCTTTCTTTAAGAGGTAGAAATGAAGATATATATGTAATTGATAGATGAACAATGTTTTACAAGTGTAAATGAAATCCCCTGACGTTTTGCCTGATATCGTGTTAAAGTCGTTCGTGACTGGTGACTTGCTATGAACATCGACAGCTTCCGACAGAAAGCACGACAGTAGCATGATTTATTGCATAGGTAATAAATCATGTTGCTTAATAAATTCACAATAATGTGAATTTTTTAACTACCTATCAGTTTTTTTTACCACAACGGTGGCAAGAAAAGCACACGGCCCACCTGATCGTAAGTGGTTACCGTGACCTATGAACGCTCGCAACACATTACATGTGTTATCATCAGTTATTTAAATCGTACAGTACCTGGCGGCGATAATAGTGCATATCGACCTTTGGAAAGAGACAAGTGGCCGAGTTTGACGAATACGTACTGCACATAATAGTGAGCTGCTAAAACTAGTAACTCACTCTCTTCGAGAAAAAGTTTTGTGTAATTAAATGATCGCAATATCACACAAAATCGTCTCTTTCGATGTAAATATTTTTACTTTTTTCTTTCAAATTCGATGTGTAATATTTATAGCAAGGCGCTGTAGTTTGGATTTAGGTCCAAATGCGATTCACCATAAATAGAAAAAAAAATCTGCACAAAATATTGGGCTTAATAACTTTTTTACTACTTTAAACTGTCAAACACCAAGCGGTCACCGGTGACCGCGACCTATTGTTCTTTAATTGTGTCTTTAAAACCGGTACTCGACGAGTTAATGGTTAAGTGCAGATTAGAGCAATTCTAATAAGATAAATGTCTTTCTTTACACTAATTAATATTTATCCGATCCCCAGGTTCGAGTGGATAGCAACAATGAACGTACCAGGGAACTTGTATGGCAACGCAGCGCAAGAATAGCACATGTCGTCTCAGAGAAACTTCTCTCTGCATCCAAACCAATGTTCCACCAACAAACCGTCGTCAAGCAATGAATTTTAGACATTATTACAATGTTATAGAGCACAATTTAGCTTTATAGCAAGGGTTAGGGTGATGGGAAGTTGTACTAAGATATTGCATTTAAGAAGCCGACTCGTCAGACGCGTAGATTTAAAAAAAAAACGATTTATACACTACAGATTTTTCAATACTTTTTTATGGTGAGAAAAAAGGTACCAATAATTCAGTACATCATATATACGCCTTTGAATTGTCGGTTCGTTTAATTGACTGATTGATAGTAATATCTTTAATTTATTTTTCAAAGTATATTATGTTTAGCGTATATTTTCAGTCGCAAGGCTTATGATACTCATTATTTTTAGTAAATAGTCAGACAATGCATTTACTATGTTGTAACGTTATGGTGCTAAGATCTTAAAGATAATTTTATACGCTGTACATTATTTATATTTAATAAATACTTTTTACATATTATTATTTTGTTTGTTTATTTGAATTTTGTACCTATAATAAGGATGTTTCTTAAATAGTATTTGAAATTTAATTGTTGTTTGGTAGATTTATTTAAATCATTAGAGTGCTATAAATACTTTCGACGATATACTTACTTTTAAAATATCGTGTGACGTCATAGTTACCACATTTTGTATGTAGCAGTGACGTAGCGAACTCCCACTTCTAAACATAAATCCGTTTTATTTAGGAGTCTAACAATTTTTCATTATCTGAATTACCTGACGGACTAAATAGATTTATAATTTGTATACCCTGTTATGAGCAAAGAACAAGTCATGTCAAACCATGGAACAACCTGTGAAACAAAACTACGACTTCAATATCACTATTTATCTTATGAATTCTATGTAATAGGGAGTGAGCCTATTGCCAAGTATCGGGCACAAACATTTTCAGGCTACGTGTTGCTACTGAGATTTTTTTAAAACCCAGTAATACTTTGCTGGACACGGGAAATGAACCCGAGACCTTTTGCCCGGCAGTCGCATTTGCGATCACTCAGCCAACAAGATTAATAAAATAGAAACTACTAACCTTATTTGTAAAATTGTATATTTTTAAATAGTGTACAGATTGTTCAATACATTTTCACTGGTATACTACTAAGAACACATAAATAAGTATACATTTATAATTATACCTAGTACTAATATATAGTTTTACATACATTTTGGAGATTTCTACTGATTTTATAATATAATAGAAATATATATACGTAATATTAGACTCACTCATCTTTGGTACTATTAACTTTCATTTCATGCCTTTGAGATGTCATGGGAATTAAAATAAACACAAATTCAATCCAACATCAAACCTAATATAAAACAAAATTATAAGTATTTATATATATAACCATAAATATATGTATACATATAGTCACCCATTTTATACCATCTCAAACTGCAATTACAAAAATTATCAAGTATATTGTTATATTTCAGTACAATACACACATCTTATGTACTATTAAGATTAACATTGCATTATTATTTATTAAAACAGTTGTTTAACTCGTCGAGTACCGGTTTTATAGACACAGTTTAAAGTACAGACAGTTTAAACTGTCAAACACCAAGCGGTCACCGGTGACCGCGACCTATTGTTCTTTAATTGTGTCTATAAAACCGGTACTCGACGAGTTAACATAAATTAGAAAGGTAATTCTCACTGTTAGGGTAAAACCATTCATTTATATTAGAGGGTAACTTTTAAAGGCAAGACTTCAAACATAACTTCAGTATAAAAATATTTTTTTTTGTGTTAATTATACAGTATGAAATCTATTTCGTTTTCGTCCTGAAGTAAAATAGTTCTTTCTTGCTTATGCTAGAGTTTAAAAGGAAATAAAATGTTTAAAATAACTGGTGAACCATTGCAAAAAGCAAGGTCGAAATCGCATACGAACTCATAGTACATTATCAAAACATTACGCCATGTAATTTTCGAAGAGATATTTCTCTTCGGGAGACAGTTTCGATACGAATATTGGCTACAAATTTACGTTTAGTGTTTCATGTTCGTATTTTCAAGAAAAAATTTAATAAACTAAAATAAAACATCTCCATTTTTTGTTTTGGCTTTATACACCGAAAGTACTCTTAATGGTAATTTTTTTTTATTTATTTACACTTCTGTATATTATAACATACAATGGCGGACTTAATGCCGGGTGGCATTCTCTAACAGTCAACCATGGGGTGATGCAGAGATGTGCAACAGTAGGTTTTGTCGTGGGACGAAAACGAATTAGTTTTCACGGTGTATAGGTTAGGATCATTTATTTATTATTCTATTCATGAAATCCAAATCATAACGCAAAATTCGAAAATGACTGGACAAATTTAAGTAAACCTTTTTTGTTGTGTTTGGAGGAAGTTCTTAAATAAATACACAAGTAGGAAAATAGCACCCTTATAAAGTCGGAACGGATAGGGCGGTTAAAGAAGCTGTCTTCTACTTTTATTATTTACTCAGAAAGGACTATTAAGAAGGTATTAATATTATGTGTACATTTCTACTATAATGTATGTATTATGGGATTTGATTTTATTTTATGTAATGTAATAAAACTGGATAAAATTGCACACCCTAACTACATTATATTATCACACTAAACTGATACATAATTCGTGCTAATTCGTATCAAGTTATTATCTATAGATTACCAGAGTTATGTTGAAACTTTCGTGACATATACTTAATTCATTATTATGTTTTTGCTAACTCACATAACTGTAGTCACCAGTAGCAGCGCGACAGTCGCTACTTCGCGTGTCACGGAATGCTGCTCATGAATATGAGCCTCTAGCATGGCTTGAAACTAGTCAAGTACCTTGTCAAACAGTTACTTAAGTAAGCCAAAAACGTAATAATTAACTATCAGAATTATAACATTTAAAAATGATATGATACGGTTGGTTACCTCTAAAGTGTATTAGACATTAAATCTAACATTGACATATTAATTCTTGGTATACTGTTTGATTATTATGTATTATTGATTTCACGTTGACAGTCACAAAATACAGCGTTGAACGCCAGGAAAATTTTATTGCAAATGTATAATGAATTTAATCTACTTTATTACTCTAATTTATTCATTATTCTGTACAAGATCGACAATAGTCAATAAATTATTTAGGAAAATAGTTGTTATAAGTTTGACTGGATTTGCGGTGCCGCAACAGGTAAGGGAGGCCGAGAACAAAACAGTAAGTGTGTACAATAAGGTTGATATTTCAATAATGGTTACAGTGATTTTGTTCAAACGGTTATGTAACGCGTGGTTCTCTTTGTCAAAACACGTAATTTATCAATGGATTGACATTAGGAAATTCACTATTGGATAAACAGAACTTCACACTACAACGTCATTCGGTAAACCCAAAAATGCTACCTAGAGGAAGTATTAACTTAACCTACTCCCTCTCAAACTCTGTGATTGAACATGAACAATGCAAAGGTGCACTTCGTATGTACTTGCAAACGGTATATCGGTTAGATTTTGACGCACCATAAGCAACTGTATCAGTCAAACTTTATTTGATATGGGAAATAGGAATTGAGTTGGAAAATATTTAAACTTCAATTCGAGTTCTTAATGGAAGATGAAGATCAGACTTTTTAAATACATTTATAAGCGGAATGTTGAAAGGTGATATTAATTGTAATGGAAGTCATGAATGGGAACGATTTTCTTAATTTTTATATTAAGTTATAGCACAAATGCATTATGAGAAGCTCACTTTTCGCATAGTCTAACAAGATACGTATTAAATTCTTTTTTTAAATTAATTTTAAACGGTAGAACAAATTTGGTAAAATTTTAAGATTGAAATTCATTATTAGGGGTAGACAGACAATATAGGACGGTTTTGGTGTCATTCATACACAGTTACATACATATACGAGGAAAGTAAAAGAGGGGTTCTTATTAATAGGTATTTTCCTATAAAACTGCCGATTTTGCCGTTAACAAATAGCCATTTCATAGGTATAAAATAACTATGGTTTACTACAAGCACTTTAGTTAGAAATTTCAACACTAACTAAAATATAATTAAGTACTTTACTCACATAAACATACTTTAGGAACTATCTACGCGAAGGACACTGTCGAACTTGTACGTATATCTACACAAATATCTACTAGCTAGCTGATACTTTAATTAATGGTTTTAGACTAACATTGGTAATAAGAAATCATAACTTAAATTGTCAGTGGTATTCTATTGTGTTATAATGAACTTATATTGATCACCACTATTTTTATGAGCTCCGATTTTATTCGAAACCGTTCAAGCTAATCCGAAACTCAAACATACATAAGAACTAATTTGCAATTAGTCTAATTATCATAAAAAAACAATCCATTTCGAAATCTAAAACCATTAAAAATCAGCTACACTTTACTGTTATAATAAAACTAATTAAAAATTAATACCGTCACGTGTCATTGCCCCCGTTGGTATGAGATAGTGCTATACCGTTCTTGCACAATAGTGGCGTACTGTTCTGATCGTCAATGATGACTACTTCTGTGACGTCATCGTCTGATTGTTTAAGCGAGTCATAGTTTGGAGGCGGTGTGTGTTCTTTGCTGGTTAGCTGTAGTGGTATTTGACCTGTAAGACCTGTGGAGAAAGTAGAAAATTATTACTTTTGTTCCGAAACATTTTATTAAATTATTAAGATTTGCTCATCCTTGTTAGCACATTTAAGTGCAGTACTTTCGTTAATATATAATTTTGTGTAGTGAGCATTTCGATATATGGAGAAGAGTAAGGTTTTTTACATCAAAACTATTTATTAGATAGTATAAAATCGCCTCTATAGATGCGATTTTATAACTTATGTCTACGCCGTTAGCAGTCATAATCCCTAAGTATACAGCTAAATTGAATAAAGTTCTGCTTTGAAACATAATGCAACTAGACACATCTCGTCTGTTCGAGAACTACGTCTAAAATCCTTACTAATATTATAAATCGGAAAGTGAGTTTGTTTGTTTGTTTGTTCCACTTTCACGCCGTAACTACTAAACCGATTGCTTTGAATTTTTGCAGACGTAAAGTTAAAAGTCCGGATTAAGTAATAGGGTACTTTTTAACCGGGAAAAATTTGATATTATCGAGGAAAAACAAAAGTATTGATATAGATGGCGCTGTGTGTATTGGTATATGTCACATAGGCTACTTTTTATACTTTTGTGACGCGAGCGAAGCCGCGGGTAAAAGCTAGTATTATATAAAATATCACATACTATGTAGAGTGGAGTCCAGCTCGGCATGTGTGAGTACAACGACGACATTGCCCCCGGCGCCGCTGAAGACGCTGGCGACGCAGGCGCGCGGCGACAGCAGCACCAGCGGCTGCCCCCGCGCGGCCAGCGAGCTCGACAGGGCACAGATGCCCTTGGCCGCTGTGAAGTCTGCGCCTGTACGTGATCAATTGAAGTTTATATTCAGATATTTAAGTTTATATTTGAGTGAACGGCTGTTGAAAATTAATATTTTAAGAGACTTTTTTTTAAGGGGGGAAAGTCATCGAATGACTGCTCCCGCCTGGGAGAGGCGGGAGGGAGTGTCAGACTCTTACTGACTAAAAACCACCCCGTTCCTTCTCCTGCACGAGCCCCGGTTACCCGTTAGGTTCTCCGCGACATTTTAAGAGACTAATTCAAGGATATAAAATAAAATTCTTTTAGTTTTATCTTGTTTTACTTGCTTTTGATATTGGTCTGACGTTAAAATACGATAGAAAAAGAAGTGTGACTTCTGTAATAAAGAACAAATATTAAGAAACTATTGAGTAATGAACTACGTAGTAATTTAAACTGTCAAACACCGCGAGGACACCGGTTCTTTAATTGCGTCTATAATGACGGTACTCAAAGGGTTAAATACTAATTAGACGAAATAAATGCAAAATAATATTTAAAACAAATGTGACATTAAATTACCAATTACCAGAATCTTTCACACACCACACTTACCTAACACATATCGGCAATCAATGACGACGGGCATGCTACACCCGCCTTGCTTCTTAGCAGCTCTCTCTACATACTGTCTTATATACTCCACGCCAGGGAAGTACAGACTGTTGCCTACAGTTACTAAAACGTAACTGAAGCCCGATGCATTCTGTAATAAAAAGTCAAACATCAGAATACTGGGAGTTAAACCTTGTTTTTATGAGCGTAGGGTTAATTTTTAAATAAAGCTATCTTAGTTAATATTGTTACGAACTCGTGCATGGTATAAGTTGACTCGAAATGTTATTTATGGGTATAGCCGCGATGTAGTAGCCAACAAGTGATTCCTAAAAATACTTCAATGTTCAAACTGTGTTATCTTACAATATCTTAAAATAATCGTAGGTATGCCTTTGCCGATAGATTCGGTGAATATCCGTTAACTGACACTTTGATTTATCAAATTTTTTAAATGTAAAACGATACATAACGTAGAATCTTCAACCCTAACTACATTAGAATTGTATACTATAATGCAATACAAAACTATAAAATAATATTTCACCGTAATAATCTCAGCTTCAAGCTGTGGCCTGGCACTGGGGTACAGCAGTAGTATGACATTGACGGCGACGCCCGCCAGGATGCCGAGCTCGACGCCCACCGACAGACACAGGGCAAACGTTGCGAACGCGGGCAACAAGTCCGCGCGACGAGACCGCCACATTGGTTTAACAACCTGGAACATACAATAAAGTACTTAATTTAAAGAGAGTGCCTCCGCTGCCGGCGCCGGTTGCCAAAAATATCACTATTGGAAACCGGCGGTAAGTATACTGCCGACAGCCGAGATTTAAAACAACGGCTGCCGGCGCCGGCACTCAAAATGGCAGCCGGTGACAATGCGCAAAAGGCTGGGTTCCAGTGCCGGTAAACAAATATTAAAAAAAACATAACCTCAAAGATTCAACTTTGTTCTTTATTTAGTTTCATTAGTTTGTGCTGTTTGTTGTATTTATTATGTTTGTCTTACGTTTATCGTTACGGTTTGGAAAAATGAAAGTCGGCGACAAATATAGGATAGGATAGGTTAGGTTAGGGCCGGTTACCGAATAGGCTACCGGCGCCGGCAGCTAGTCCGGCAACCGGCGCTGGCAGCGGAGGCACTCCCTAATTTAAATAGTTATCAAGTACCCAAATGTAAGATTTTTAGAATGAAAAAGGATACAATCTGTCGGTGACTGAATTTAAAACTTAAGTACTAAAGTTCAAATTACAGTTATAGTTTAAAAGAGAAACTAGCGCTAAATTTTTGTGGAAGTTGTTATCTGTAAGAAGTTTTTTGGTAAATGTAAGGATGTAAAAGTAGGGGACGACTGATTGTGATGAAATACAAGGGTGTTTGTAATATTATTACTTCTGCTCCGGGAGAAAAAAATACATGTTAAGGTAGTTCTGGCAAACTCAGGATAAGTTAATACTGTATGGTCACCCGATATTGATAACATACCTCATATTCTATCATAAATATCACAGCACATATCACTACGGACGCCAGCGCCGCCTTCGGGATAAAATAGAAGTACGGAGTCAGAAGACTGAGCGCCAGTAACACCAGTACACCTGAAAAATAGAAACATTTAAGCATAAAAATTAAATTCTATAAAAATGTCGTGAAGAGACTAGAATGTTTTTATAATAACTATCATGAGACATACTAAATTAACTAAAAATTGCGGGTTACTCACGTGAATATATTGAGAAAAGTTCTACTAGTTTCGAACCAGAGAGGGGTTCTTCCTCATGAGCAGCGTGCGCGGTCGCGGCGATGTCGCGCAGCCTGAACCCCTCTGTTTTATTCACGTATAGACTCACGTGAGAAACCCGCGATTTTTAGTTAATTTAGGAGACTAGATATTGATAATTCATTACAAGAACAACCTAAGGGACTACACATTTAAAAGAGAGTATGTATCGATACGTTTATGACGTTCGGCGCTCTGATTGGCTAGCTCCAACTAACTAACCAACCAGAGAACTGAACGCGGAAACGCTTCGAGTTGAAATACTATCCCCTAAATTTGTTCATACAAAAGTAGTCTCTAAACATCGGAAATAAGGTCTATAATATAGTTAGTGGAGAGCGGTCACCGGTGACCGCTTGGGGATAAATGGGTGTTGGTAAAAATCTCGCATTAGACCCTTTGAAGCTTTTAAACTGCGATCTTCAGGTCGCTTGCCTAGCAGCAGCAAGTTTGTAGATAACAACAACCCCCATAGTCTAGAAGTGATCTAATACGGTCTCTTGGTAATAATTAAATATACAGCGCAAAACCATCATATGTTATATATCTCAATGGTTTATTGAAGCAATCTACTAAATATGCAAATTAGATATAATACGGAAGAGTAGCAATGGATAGTAATAAGTAAACATTTTGATCAATCTCCTTTAATTCTGTATATACTTTGACCTTTGAAGAAAACTTATAAGCCTTTATCTACAATTGCCATCATATCAAGTGATCCCCAAACTTAAAAGTTACTCAACCGATTTTTAACCTTATTGTCCATGACAATAAAGTTGAAAGTCTTATGACAGATGAAGGTTAACTTGACTTGCCTCTGTACGTGTGTCGAATTTGTAATGGGAGTCATTTGAAAGTGTTCGACATGACGTGACTTGAGTTAATCATGTTATTGTATTAAGATTAGCGGTTTTGTATCTACTGTTTATTGTTTTAAGATTCTAATTTTATGGGTCAGTAGGTTATCTAGGCACGTTGGAAAACAATGGCTAATATTTAAATATTACTCACAACCACATCAATAAAAATGTCATTATCATTGTACACTATACAAATGACTGCGACAAACTCACATAATAAGATACTTTGCATGGCTTTACGTTGAAACTATGAACTTTATTAGCTCATTAAGAGACATTATTGTACCTATTCTTCAATAAAAAGTAAAAAAATCACCTGTATAAATGCTACCGAACTGCGTGGCCACTCCACTGGCATGGTTCACAGCACTTCTAGAGAACGACCCAGTGATCGGCATAGCACCGGCGAATGAACCAAAAATGTTCGCTAACGACAGTGTTATCAACTCCTGCGTCGCATCTACTGACTCGCCACTTGCTGAAACAATAAAAAATATTCTTAAATTTTGAAAATTAAAATAACACGAAAAACACACAAAGACCGGTTAAAATCTTATGGAAAAAGTGTTGTGTGTGTCATAATATACCCAATAGTATGTGACTGCTATTAGAATCTGGATATTCGTTTATTTTATTTTTTTATGGGATAAGCCGGTAAATATGCGGACAGATCACCTGATGGTAAGCAATCGGCGTTGCTCATAGACACCTGGAACACCATAGGCATTACAAGTGCGCTACCGGTCTTTTGGAGATTAAGAATTAGGATTTTTATAATAATTATCGTGAGACATACTAAATGAACTAAAAATCGCGGTAAAATTAAAGAAAAGCTCTACTAGTTTCGAACTACAGAAAGGTTCTTCCTCATGATCAGCGTGCGCGGTCGCGGCGATGTCGCGCAGCCTACTAGTAGAGCTTTTCGCAGTATATTCACGTGAATAACCCGCGATCTTTAGTTAATTTAGTATGTCTCACGATAGTTATTATAAAAATCCTCAGTTTTTAGTTAATTATTCCGCGATTTTTAGTTAATTCGAGGATTGTTGCAGATTCAGGGATTAGGGACATTAGTGAAGAGGGATTGTCACAATTTGTGACAGGCGAGATGGTGGCCAAACGTCAACATATCTAGTATAAAAAAGACTCGGCGACTAAAAACCCAGCATCGGTATCGATAAGTGTAAATGGTTATATTTTTACATATTTGTCTGTTTTCATGCTACGATAATATTTATTTATTTATCTTCTTCACAAAATACAGTGAATGGCGGACTTAATGCCTTAAGGCATTCTCTTAGAGTCAACCATAGGGAAGTGCAGAGAAATAAAGTGGATGATATGATATGAATATGCAATGTATTTTGCATTAACTACAAACACTCAAACGTCTGGTAGCAGGAACGAAGATAACAATCTCTACTAGTAAATTACCCACTACGTACAACTTGCGGATTTATGTATTAAATATATCTTGGTACAGGTTTCCACGTCATACTATGTGTACTAAATGTAAACATCTCGATTTAAACCAAAGTAAAAAAAAATATCGCTCGTCAACTTGATTTTTTTACACATTTGCATCATAAGTTGGCAAAGATTAAGTTCAACAGTTTAAACTTTTAAAAATGTCAAGGTAACTTATCATAACAAACCACAATCCCTTACCTATAAAATAAGAATTACGTATAATATCATAGAACTCTGTTTATAGCTGTGTTACGCAAACAATTAAATTTTATATATATTAAAATTGCTTTACGGCGTCATTCATTGCAAATGATGACTATTTATTATTGCTAATTCGATGTCCTTGCAGGCTATTCTCATAAAATGTTAATTATAAGTTTTAAACAAGTAATACATTCATAGATAACATGTTTCATGGTTAACGGTTTTAATTAGTTCCATTCTATCCATCAAACCCTAACGTTCGACATCCATAATGGAGGTAGTTGCGGATAATATCGATTATGATTCTTGCATGGTTATCAAAATTAACAGTATGTATGAAATATCAGATCGACTTATCGTAAAACCGCTTTTAATAATAAAAATCTATTTAATCACTTCTTTTAGTGTTTTGTTACTGAACAGAACCGCCATTTTCAGGCACTAAAACTGCATGTGACTTGTACCAAAACAAATAAAAAAGTTATCATACAGTTCAAGCACCTACTCAAAGTGTAATAAACAATTAATTACAAATACTATTAATTAAACTGTTTCACTTGACTGACTTCGATAGTCGTGGTTAACGGGCCAATTGGTGAAATTCATGACGTCATCCTGTTATAACCAATGATATAATAATCTACCAACTAAGACGTACTTGAAATTCTGTACCTTTATTAATTTAATTGACCAGCGATATGCAAATGTGAATTCTATTTTTTTATTAATAAAGTGACAATTATATCGTTTGGAAACTGAATTGAAGTATACCGACACGAGGATAATAAAAACGCTTGATGTTATAGTAATCTGCACCCTATGGCCATAGAATTAAAGGTTTCAAATGTATTTACTAACAGCCTCGTCCGTAACTCGCTTTGATATAAGTTCAACAACCGAATAGGCGGTTTCGAATTAGATTTTCGGGCGGTTAATATCATAAAATCCCATTCCTATGATAATAGCCGGCTAAAATTGATTAGTTTTTGACTGCCGCCGATAGGAACAAATTGTTAAACGCAAGTCCCGCCAAATTCCGCGGTAACCGGTCGCCAAGAACTGATGCAGCATTTGATGTGTTACTACGACTCTGCTTACTTCTTCAGAGAATAATACAAGTATACCTACTTAAATAAAATAAAAGATTAACGGATTTAATGAGCTTTATTTTAATAATCTATCCCTCTCCCAATAGGGCTGATGCCGATACGGAGCCGCAGAGAACTTAACGGGTTACCGGGGCTCCGGCTCGAAGTGCAGGAGAAGGAACGGGGTCGGTTTTAGTCAGTAAGAGTCTGACACTTCCTCCCGCCTCACCCAGGTGGGAAAAGTCATTAATGATTTTCCCCCCTTAAAAAGCCTTTTCATTTGATACCCATATTATGTAGGTAGTTGTGGAAAGAAATATGCATAGGCAGCCATCAGCGATTTACAATCATAGAGGATGTAGGTATTATATTGCCTGGTCATCATTATCAAGATTAAACTGGCAAACACAGCGAGGACACCGGTGACCGCAACCTATTGTTCTTTAATTGTGTCTATAATGACGGTACTCAAAGGGTTAAGAGTGTACCAAATACCAGATTGACCTGTCCTCAGGCAGGGGGTAAAATTCCAATTCTACAATTGACAAGCCCAATAAAACCGTTTAAAAAGAAAGTTAACATAAATTTAACTTTACTTACCAAAAGCTTTAGCAATAGCCACATTGCCTAACACAGCAATAACAGGAACTATGAAGATCGAGGAGCCAAGGTCTGAGCACATTTCCATGAAGCCTACGTATCTGCCATTCACGACTGTGGAGAACGGAGGCCAACTCAGCGAGGGGAGACCGTCTCTGTAAGAAGATAATAGTACCTGTTATTTCAAATGTTTTTTCTTTATGAAAGACAAAACTATTGGTGCGTTTGAACGTAGATTCACGTGAAATACAATATATTTTCTAATGTGTCTCATATACGGCAGGCCAGTGGTTAAAAGATTGCACGGTTGTCGCGGTGCGGTGGTTGGGCAACTGACTGCCGCGCAACGTGTCGCGGTTTCGATTCCCGCACGGAGCAACTCTTTGTGTGATCCAGAGATCGTTGTTCCTTGTATGTTTGTAAACGCATCCACGACACAGGAGAAAATCTTAGTGTGGGGCAACGTTTTATTAAAAAAAAAAGAATAAAAGTTATTTGGGGAGAAAGCTCTTTATTAGGGAGTGCCATCCATTAAGTGTAATAAGGCTGTAATTAATAACCGATGTAAGTAAATTTCTGGATCGATCCAGGTTTTCTACGGTTTCTATTATACAATTTTTTTTTCATGAACTTTATTTTTTTACGGCAGTGCCGATACTCGCACATCAATTACAAGTGCGTTTCCGACTTTCTGGTGATTGATATTTATCTTTTTGGAGTTTTCGGTTATTCATTTCGTTCATTTAACTAGTTTGTACGATTAGAGATATAGATGTACCATTAATCTATTTAATCTTGAATCGTACCTGCGTAGCACGTAGCATACAAAAATACAATTGCTGCGACATGCAACCTTCGCGATATTTTATATTTTTTAGTAACTTTGCCATTCATCTTCATAAAAATAAATTCTTGCACCAATAATAAAATAAAACAGTAACTATTAATATTAGCATCAATAGCCTCAGTAAATCAAATATGTCGGTCTATTTGAAGGACAAACCATCCAATAAGGAAATGTATCGTAGCTACTTATAGTAGCAAGCCTTTGTTATTTCATGATTAATATTCGCGTGTTTGTTTTTACGCATACACTTCGTATACAAGTATACTTTATTTTTGTTGTTTTTAATCGCCATTTATTCTTTTCATAAGATAGTTAGCTAGAGATACATCTCCACAATGCAGCGCCAATTTTCACTATTTACATTAGGAGTCCCATATAACGGGGGGTTATACCTACTATTGCCCTAATTGTGCTATCATTGAGCATTTTCAACCGTATAAATACTCAATGAAACTTTACCTAACCACCTAGGATACGTAAGATCACTTTGTCCAGGGGTATATCTACATTTACCAATTAATTAATAAACTAAAACGCTCATTCATAAAAAAAAATCAATTTAAACAAGACAATAACACCAGGAAGCATTGCGATGTGCTAGAAAAACTTAGCGCCATATTTCATTAACTTTTTTTTCATTATTATGACAATCAAGGATACTTACTTGACAGTTCCAGTTAATTTAAACGGCTGAGTGGAATATGTCTCAAATAAAAACGCAGCTACGGAACAACCTACTACCACGATCGCGTTTCTTGAGGTCGAGAGCAACCAAAGAGTTTTCTTTAAACCCTTTTGACTGGCTGGCAGCTTGACGTCTTTCATTTTCTGAAATAGAACTTTACATTAAAATATTTTTATAGGAGTTGATAATACCCACACAAATGTTCTTTTAAAGTACTAGAATTCTAAAATTGCACTAAACTAAATAAAACTTAGAAACACATAAACTTCACGCCTTTTATCCCCGAAGGGATAGACAGAGGTGCATATTACGGCACTTAATGCCACTGTACAATGTAACACCCACTTTTCACTGTTTTATGTTATGAGGCCCATGTAATAGGGGGTGCGCCTATTGCCATATACCGGGTAAATTTCCAGATTCCATGCTAATACTGAGATTTTTTAAATACCCGGTAATACTTTGCCCGACCGGGAATCGAACGCGAGACCCCTTACTGGCAGTCGAATTTACTACCACTCGGCCAACGACGCATAATAAAGGAATACCCAAATATTATTCTTTGAGACATTAGGTATTGTCTGAATTACCTAATTATTTTTACATTTTTTTGTTTTTCAGCACTCATTTGGTCGCTATTGACGCACACTACTCTATATAGGTATACAAGAGGTTTTTATCTTTAGGATACAAAAAGACATGATGTAGAATGTAGATGACATTATGCAATTGTATTTAGGTAAATATCATTATGGGACGTCAATATCTGGTGAATGCACTAAAAATTCCAAGCTACTCACGTAAATGTAGGTACTGAGAAAAGCTCTACTAGTTTCAAGTAACAGAGGGACCCTTTTCAGGGATATAGCGCAGCCTACCAGAATAGGCTGTGCGACATCGCCACGTCCGCGCACGCTGCTCATGAGAAAGAGTCCCTTTGTGAGTCGAAACTAGTAGAATTCGTAATTTTTAGTTAATTCAGTATGTCTCACGATAGTTTATATTACCTAACATAGAAGTATAAACTGGACTAATCTAAATAAGAGCACAATGACAAAGATAACTTTACTAGCTAAAAAACATCAATTTAAAATACATAGTAACTCTTTACATTCTCAAAAGCACATGTTTTACCCGAGTTTATAATAATAAAAAAAAACAACGAACAACTGCAATATTCGCACGAAACTAAAACAAAAGACGTAAACATGATAAACCGTGAAAAGTTAACGAAAGTTGTTCCAAATTAACATAATGAGCACACAGCACTATATTAAAAAATATTGAATACCTTCAAAGCACACACTTGAACAAGTAAAGTAACATGATGAAAGTCATTGCGAGGTCATTACTTTTCAAAATAAATATGTCTCAGTCATTAACATTCAATATCAGTCTATGTGCTGCTCCCATTGTTCATATTGAACATCTTTGTATTATTGCGAATAGAATAATCACCCTTTCATGCGTTTATCTCGCAAAACGTGAACTTATATGTCATATTGTTGAGGGACATCACGTTTCCTGACGAATAGAACAACAAGCCGATGTTCTGACATCAAATTAAGTGGCATTGTAGTTCACAAAGGAATACGAACACAAAACATCGATTGCAAACACAACAACAGATGTGTTGAACAAAAATTTACTATTTGTAATATCAGCACCAGATCAAATTGATAGCAAACATTCGTTTCGGAAATATATGGACACAGCGTTTATTGTGTTTACTTTTTAATTAATGCATTATTAATATATGTTCCTACCTATTTGTGTAGCAGAAACTGTATTGATATATATACCGCTTAAAAAAAAGAGGTATTGGCTACGAGTAACACGTGCAGTTATTTATTATTATTTAAATTTTAAAGTACTTTTGTTTGTATACCTATTTAATACGTTGAGGAAAAGTGAAAATTATTTCCATTTTAACATATCGTTAAATGTAAATTATTATTTACATTTTTCCATAATTGTAAGGAAGCTGTTTATGGATCGAGTTATTACCAGAACAAGAAAATTACAAATCTATATTGGATTTGGATACATACGTTTTAAAATTGATTAAATACCATTTGTTGGTTATCTAAAACCTACCTATTTATACAAGGCCATTATTAGAATAGATTTTAAGGGTAATTCTACAAAACTTCTCTTATTATATCTATGGGTAATTCTTAGAGAGTAGTTGAAAAATGAATAAATTTTAATACTTACACGCATTAGTAAAAGTAGCACTATACAGGATATTCCTAAAGTACTGTCTGCTAATCTTGCATTCGGTATATTGGTTATGACCTGCAACAAATTGTAATTGTTGTACACACCCCTTTCTGTCAAAATTCTTAATTTGATTTCCAACTTTCTAGTTTCGATGTAAAGTCGAAAACCCAATGAAATAATTGTACATTGGATAGGTACTAGGATTACTGACGACTGTATATTAAAAACAGGTAAATACGATGTGTTCGTGCAATATAATTTATTTTCAGTCCTGACTGCATTAAATTACACATGTTACTTAGTTTTTTAGTTTTTAATAATACACGCATGAACCTAAGTTAAACAAATATCTTCAATCAATTTCAACTTTATGACAAAACCAAGAAGGTTTAAAACAGAATGGAGTATGCAACCAAGTATGTATTACTAAAAAATCATTAAAGAAGGGTCTGATTAATTATATTATTAAAATATACCTTTTTAACAGTGTCTAAGAATCCGCCAGATTTGAATTGAAGTCCTAGAAGGCCCTTCAGTTGTGAAACGGCGATAATCACAGATGTTGCTGAGGTGAACCCAACCGTGACTGGTACTGATATGAAGTCTATTAAAACACCTGTACAGAAGGATAAACGGATAAATAACAATAATAAAAAACACATGCATATCGTCATGCCTGTCTCACATTTTGACTGCACGGCGTGCGTGGTGGCTAGGCAACTGGCTGCCGTGCAACGTGCCGCGGGTTCGATTCTCGCATGGAACAGTTGTTCCATTTGTGTGATCCACAAATTGTTGTTCCGTGTCTGGGTATCATGTGTATGTTTGTATGTTTATATGAACTTGTATGTTTGTATACCCAAGATACAGGAGAAAATCTTAGTGTGAGTCAACTTTGTTTTTTTTTTAAAAAAACCTAGGCGTACGCAAGGAAAATAGGTAGATCGCCAAATAATACGATTCTGACATATCTATATGTCGCTTCATCTACTTTCATCAATAATTTCATGAATATATCTATAACCCTATTGTATCATCAAACAAACGTAAACACTTTCGAATTTATAATATTAGAAGGGTTTCTAATATTATAAATTCGAAAGTGTTTACGTTTGTTACTGCTTCACGTCTCGGTCTCTTGTCACGGCTGAAGAGATTGGGATGAAATTTGGAACAGGGGTATATTAATTTGGGCCACCAAGATACAGGCTGTGCCTAGTTTGGGGCCCACGGGCACCTCTGTCGTATTTGCACTTATGTGAATGCTGTTCGCTTCCATGCCTACATGAAATCTAACTTGTGTATGCCATACACAAGTTAGATTTCATGTAGGCAAAAAACGAAACAAATTTTATAAAAAAAAAATATGCCCGGAAATAGCACATAAACCACTTTTTATCCCATGGTGCCGCGGGCGAAAACGCTGGCAGAAGATGGTAAATTATAAAGTTACTTATTAGAAATTGTAATAGGAACATAATAAAAATATTTATTAGAACCTCGTAATTGTTAGAAACTATTTGAACAAAACCACTTAACTCAAAAAAAAACTTTGCAAAAGAGTTTTATTAGATACGTTTTTCTTCTTTTGATTTTGGAACTTTAATAATATTCTATGTATACGTAAGTATCATGTATGAAACTATTGTAGGTATAGGTATTATCAAAACCTTTGAGTAGATTGTGTTTGGGTACTACTATACTGTCCGTCTGGTAGTCAAGGCCAGTCATAATATATTTTAGTCAGTAAAAAACTTAGTACCTATCTACAAACGTAAATACATACAAAGTATTCTTGCAATAAGTCTATGGTTTTTACTAGTATTTTCACAGAGCATTATGAAAGGTTCCAGACTCGTATCATATGACTCTGATACACATTCAAATGATATATGTTTGATAGTAAAATGAAAGGAAGTTTCATATGTATGCTAGCTGTTGCCCGCGACTTTATCCGCGTAGAAAATGAATGTTAGAACATAACTATTTTTGTCAATATTTGTGTTTTAATTTTCCCAAAATAAAAGTAGCCAATGTTACTTCTTAGTACATCAGCTACTGGCCAATAAAAGTATTGCAAAATTGGTCCAGCCATTCCAGAGATTAGCCAGTACAAACATACAGACAGACAAATATTGTAAAAAATGATATTTTGGTATGTGTACCGTATGTACCTCTATATTCATAAGCATGTAGTAAAAAGCGGTTATTTTAACATTACAAACATAGGCCCCAATTTTATTTATCTGTATATAAAGTCAAAGTCAAAGTCAAAGCATTTATTTCAATTAAACCATAGTTTGGTACTTTTGAAACGTCAACAAATACAAAATAAATAATAGTCTGTCAGTCAGTCCGTCAGTGAAACTAGGTGAAGCTAGGTGATAATAGATATAAACAAAGTAAAAGGTCTGCTTGTGTACAGGAAAACCGTACTTTCATTTAAATGTTACTTGCAATGTCATAGAGCCGAACACCGATGTGTTTATACCGATCTGACTAGTATTAAAACTATTTTATCTAAAAGGAATGAATTCTTATATCCGACCTAACTACAATTACACACGACATTTCACACGCATAAGTATGCTTACTTACAACCATTTGACAACGAGAACGTACATACATACATAACCTCACGCTTGTCTCCCATGGATGGTAGCAGTGACTATGGAATGTCAATTGCTACGATTTTTACAAACCTCTTTCGCTTCATCAACAGTCATCAATCTTATCATGCATGCTCATCGGTTAAGGGTACTTTCAACGAGAAAGTAAAATATAAATATTTCCAGTTTAAACCGGTTACAAAACTAATTGAAGCAAATTATGTTTCAAGTATCTTCAATATCAATTTCAATATCAATAAACAAGTAATCATAAAACATAATACCTATGAACCCTTAACCTCGATATTATTAAATAAATATCAAAGAACAAATGAAGCCAATTCCACTGAACTTAACGACAATTCGAGGAAGGTTTCTAGTTGGGAAGAGGAGATCAAATTAAGCGAGAGGCAGTGAACAATGAAACAGAACCCATACCCGCTCCTGAATTGAAATTGGATAATGATACTGAGATAAGCACACAAACTAAAGTATACACTAGTTATGAACTAGCTGATGATAATAGAGGGCGCATTGTAAATGTAACTATTACGTATGCTTTTGTGGATAGAGGTGGCGAACTTCAATTTAGAGATAACAAAGGGAAAATTATTATAGAGTTGGCTTACATAAACCCGGTACTCATAGCCATAAATAACATATTGACAATACACTATTTTCAGCACAAAGATATAAGTTTTATCCTTATGTCGTCCTATATACGGATTATTTTTGGACGTCTAGTTCAAGTGTAGGTAAGTCGATCATTAAATTAATACAATTATTCAACTATAAATGTTTACTCTCACTTGTATTGCGCGTCGGCCTTGCTGAGTACAGGATATAATTAAATGCACAGTAGAACATTATGCCAAGTTAGTATCGTGTCTTCGACGGGCACAATGCACTTTTGTTTGCAAATACGTCAAATGCTAGAAAAGAAGTTGAAAACATGTCGGTGTGTTTTCATTCTGAACTGCTTTTGAGAACTGTTTTAACGTGGTATAACACTGAACGCCAATAGTCCTTCTCTTTCTCAAAATTCGTTAAGTACAGATTGCGGTAGTGCCTGAACTTCGTCTTGTCAGTGAAATGTCAGTGATCTTTTTTTTTTTTCTTTGGCAACCGAGTCTCCAATACGATGTTGTCGACTATACTGCCAGTGTCGTCAGTGATTTAATTCATGTGAGAAATACCCTACACGTAACTAAAAATACGAAACATTAGCTGTTGCCCGCGACTTCTTCCGCGTAGAATATGATTTGTTTTATTCCATGGGAATTTTTAATCGGGATAAAAAGTATCCTATCACTTAAGTCAGCCTATACTCTGCCTGTATGCCAATTTTCATCAAAATCCGTACAGCAGTGACAGCGTGATTGACGGACAAACATGCAAACAAAGAAAGTCACATTTAAAATATTAGTGTGATATGAAACATAACAATGTGCCATTTTGAACTTATATTCTATAACCACTTTTGTATTATTAACTCTGCCCTAGATCGTGCCTACAGCCAAACTGAAAATGATTAGGGAGAAAATCCTAATTAATGAAGGGACAGCACGTGCCACACCGGATCATTACATTACAAATCAAAGTATAACTAAGGAAATAGGGACTAAATTATTTAGAGACAAAATAAAGAAGACTCCACTTACCTAAATGTAATAACCCCATTCCGAGTTGTACTACACCAGACAAAAAGCAGAGTAATACAGCATAGTCAGGGTTTCTACCCTGTATTTGTTGATAGGTCATGAGGGCCAGCAATGCTGTCGGTCCCAAAGTAATGTCCTTACAAGACCCAAACACTATGTAGACGAAACATCCCATAAACGATGAGTAGAGACCGTCCTGAAAAATTTACGACTGTGAATAGTGTGAATACGTACTTCAGTTATCGCCAGGGGACGAGTGTGAAGTGCTACATACGTCTACAATATTTCTACATAATTTGAATATTACACGTGAACTATTTGCAAAAAAGTATGCACGTCAAAATAAGGTTCTGTAAACACATCTCTGTTACCACAAACTACGTAAACACATTATGAATAATGAAGTATGAAGTAATCAATCTTATTCGAAAGTTCGCAACTAAATATAACCATTACATAAACTTGATACTTTCAACACGTGTCCGATATTTTATATTAAGACCTGTAGCCCGAAGGTTTTGGTAATCGACCTTATGTCTCCAAATATCCGGTCATTGCTCCCAGAAAAATGCAATCAGATCCTCGTATTTGGAACAGATCGACTTTTACCTGCCGCACCCTGTCGATATTAAAACGTTATTCAGATTCCTGGGATAAAAATATTCGGAAGACTTGTACCATATAGGAGATATGATAACAAAGCTTCGGCCTGAGATTAAATATTTCATGGAGTATGCGGCTAACGGGTCCGAAGGTCAAAAATTCATCTACCTCAATATTAATCTAGGTATAAGGTTTGGTATCTGAATTTACCTGCGGACTAAGTCCAGCCAGTGTCGCATATGCCAGAGCCTGTGGTATCACCGTAAGGCCCACTGTGATGCCCGCAATTAAATCTGCTAGAGCCTTTTCCGTGTTGTATTCTGGAAGCCATTTTGTGATTGGAAGTCGTTTGTGTAACAGACGTCTGTATCGAGCCTGTCTCTTGGATCGAAGTTTGGACGGCGATGACATTTTTCTGCTGTGGACCACCTGATGACAAAAAAAGAACCAATAAGTAAGTAACCTATTGCGGATCTTTATGACTATAAATTGTGTTTCACAAGATAAAGGGAAACACGAACTTAGTAGCTGATTCATAGATGACAAGGTCGAAACAATAAATGAGTTAAAAGTATAGGCCGGTCTGGGCCGGTCAATGACTGACCCTTCCTATCTAAATAGAATGTTACACTTTTGTAACGGCAAAGTCTAAAATAAAGAATGTGACACACATTTTTGCAAGTCACGCTTGTGAATCAAGTAGGTACATACGAGAAAGATTTGAATAAAAGTATGTTTAAACAACTTAAAATGTAGATTCATAATATTAAACTCGTTTAATGAGACTTGATAAATCATCACCTACTTGTTTTATTGTTTAACTCATAAATAGCGAAGATATTTATTTATTTAAACCACAGCAAAATACACATAGTTGTCGTAGATGTATTATATAAAAGTTTATTAAACATTTCCTATGTATTTGCACGGTAGCTCCAGCGAAACATGAATAGAACAATAAAATGAGAGACAAACTTTACTACATTGTCTATCCACTATACTTCGCAAGCGACTCAGTATTTACGGAGAACTGAAACAGCGAACATTTGAAAAATAAGGATTGAAGTTAATTCACTCAGACACGAATGTTCTAGGGTACAAAAGCAAAAATAGTTGAAAGTTACTTGTGCCGTCCATTCCACGTTTTATTTTATGCTGTCAAGCTAGACTTTAGTCAATATGGAGCCAGTAAGGCGGCGGTTACAGCGTCCTTCAATCTATAAAGCACTCCTGCAGGGAATATTGGGGTAGTTGATTTAATTTAAGACCCTTTGTGTCGCACACTTCCAATTCCCTAATAAAGGCTGGCCACTAAACATGGCCGCCGAAAAACAAAGGACCGAATGTAGGTCCTCCGTATGGAAAGGCCACAATAATCGATGCTCCGTTATTATTGTTGAAATAATAAATACGCGCATTGTTGTGAGAGATCACTGGGCCTATTATTATGCTTTGTTACAGATAATGAAAGGGTAGGTACTGTGGCTGGGAAACATGTACAAACTTTCCGTCTTTTCATACGAAGCCATTATCCAAAAAAAGATCGAAAAATTACGTGTATGGTTCAGAAAAGTCTGTCAGCACTAGAAATTGAAACCAACAATGGAAGGATATAAACCTCGACAAAATAGTGTGGTGGCCGACATTTTACTACAAAAGAGTAAGGAAGGGGAGGGAACAAATCTATTACTGTCAATTTACCTCTTGAGTGGTAGGTGCTGGGGGAAAATTTGCTATTAGTGTGTAGTGCGTTCGGACACAAGGCGAAGGCCGTGTTCCCCGATAATATTGAGGTCGGCTGTGTTAATTTGCGATGGTATGTTACATCGGTTGCCAATAAACCTCCAGTGAACAATGTCGCTGGTACGCTTTGTTCCAAGCAAGGTAAGTCTAACCAATTATTCGGCCAGATTGGATTGAGGATTTCCATTAACCCTTGTGTTAGTTGTACATCTTTGAGAATGTGGTTTTACGTCGGTCATGATCGAAAAGTTATCTCCGTAATGTACTGTTTAGTGTTTACGTAATACGCTATTTTCGAGGTCACAGGATGTTACATTATGTAATAATGCATTAACGAGTATTATAAACATGTAATCACTCTAATGACGACGTCAATGTGCTTCTACAATATGACAGGAAAATTTCGTAATAAAAATGACAAAAACGTAGTATTCACAAAACATAAATGTACGTATGTTGGTATCTCTCTCTATGACTATGTTTATGATCATTATTAGCGATTCATTTGATCGGTCAGCCTTGAATTACGACTTCCTTATGATAGATATCTCAATATTAATGTTACGGTGAATTAACTATTTCGTTCTATTTATAAAAAGATTTAAATTTGCGATACGTTTTTTATGAGAGTTAATATTTGTGCAATTTTGACCTTGGGAGTTGACTTTTATTGCGTGAAATTCATATGTGATATTAACAATCCTTACTCATTATAGTTATAAAAAAAAAAAACATATCCAAAAAGCCCAAATGAACGCACGATACGTGTGACATTAATGGTGGAAAATTCTCCTCATCGAATTACGTTAGACTAGTGGTCTTAAATTTGTGAAGTCTTGTACAATAGAGGATGATCGTATTGTTCCATATTGGCCGGTTTAAAATTCATGCATGCAACTGTCTTATGATTGATTGAAACCACAGCTAAAAAGCAATAAACATTTTAATTGGATCCGTATTACCCAATAATACATTCTAATTACGCGCAGTAGCTACACGTGGTTTTACAAAAACGCGAATTTTGTTTACATAATCAATTAATACGGTTTCAAATGTAATAAATACATAATGTATGTATGTATGTATGTATGTAGTAGTAACGATCGATAATAAAGATATTGACCATGAACTGATAGCGGGCAAATAACAGTACATAATCAAAACTTGTTTATGAAAATGAGTCATTCAATATTTACGGATAGATTTGTTTTTAATAAACTTTTATAATATAGATGGTCTGTTATCTCTTGCTCTAGTGAGCACGGCGACGATCATAGAGTCAGGTAACTTTATTGGATTCTCAAAAATATTCAGTTGAAACGATGGTGGGAAATTGTGTTGTATAAGCTGGTACTCAATATAATTTATAACATAACATCACGTCTTTTATCCCCGAAGGGGTAGTCAGAGGTGCACATTATGCCATTGTACATTTTGAAACCCACTTTTCACTATTAATGTTATGAGTCCCACGTAATAGGGGGTGAACCTATTGCCATATACCGGGCACGATTCCAGACTCCGTGCTACTACTGAGTTTTTGAGATTTTTTTTTAAACTTAGTAACACTTTGCCCGACCCTGGAATCGAACCCGAGGTCATTTGCCCGGCAGTCGCAATTGCGACCACTCGGCCAACGAGGCAGTCAATATAATTTATGTTTATAACTAAAGGATTAAAATTAAATAGTTAGTAGTAGGGTAGTTTCAATTTAAGCTTGTTAAACATCCAAGAATCATAAGACGATATTAATTGATAGACACCAATTGATGGTATTGAATATCATAATTAAATCGCGAAACACATCGCATAAAAGTGAGCGAGAAATGTGTTGTTATCAACCATAAATTAGGTCATGTGATTGTGTAAAAAACATTTGTTACGACGATTATTTAGGAAACAGTATATCAAAACTGTTATTGGGCGGAGATGACATTTTTTGTTCCGTCAAAAACTTTTAACTATCCCTAATCGCACTAGCATTTAGTTCAATTTGGCGGGTGTGTAGACAGAAAGATCTGACATTTGTGTCGATAAACCAAAATCTTTTGACTACAGAATAACTAAAACCCAGCTAGAACGTAGTGTACGAGATAAGACACGTAATATTCTTATCTGCAACACATATACGGAGAGAATGGGAGCCTCAAAGGGGATAGCTCTGTACTAGGGTCTCTAACGACGCCATCAAGCATCGAAATCAACTATCGCACTAAACGCCTATCAGGGATCCAACAATAATTCCCTTTCCCAAGACGGTTATCAATCATTTTGGTAGATGTTAGCCACGTAATTCCTCGATCAATCCGTCGACCCGTGTGCCGAATGTAGGGCTGTCTCGGACTGTTTTGACCTTTCAGGCTGCGTTTGGGCATATCAACAGTCTATGGAATGAGGCTTCCATTCCTTGAGGTCTTAGTGTCCGTATCCTCTGAAAATTTTAATGTAATGACATTGAAATGTGCATTTGACGGAACGGATTCTTTGGTCAGAAATGAGGATTTGGTATTTACGTACGTATCCATATCAATTAATCTAGGAAGTGAAGGTGTGTCCAAATATTTCCATTTGCGTCAAACATGACAGTGCACCGTGACTTTTTAAATTCAATTTTATCTATATTTATTAACTAATCCAAAATATTTGTATCAGCTTTTATTTGACTTCTATCTGACCTACTGTAGAAAGATAAGATTCGGTACATTCAAGGTCGTTTCCGCGATTGGTTCCCAAAAGAGGCGTGTGCAAAGTGAGCCTATGTGTACTTTATGTTCATATACACATGTGTGTTTCCTAAAGCAACCCTATCGGTGTATGGCGCGATCCGTCACACGCGACACGACGTGACGAATGTGAGGTGGTAAGAGCTCGCAGAAACGATAATCTAATGAAAATTCCTATGGGAAGTACACATGATACCAGTTTCCATGTACTCTAATATTACATTCCTCAGAGTCAGCTGCGCGACTGTCGTATGTGAACGTTCCATCATGTTAGCAATAAGTATTTCACATACTGTGATAATTTTAAAATAATACAAGTCTACTGTTACTTGTAAAATGTTGTGGGAATATAAGAGGAAAATACACGAACACGTGTTGTTTATATTTGGTGCAGTTTCCTCGAGTTTACTGGAAGAAAAGGTTCCCTGTGGTATAAGATCGGGTTGCAACTTATGCACTTGAATTTTTTATGTAAGCTTTATGGATATAGATGTTTTTCCGTCCGCTATGTTACAGTTGGAAAGATTTCTAATTTTGTATGTAAAATTGAAAATCTTTGCACTCTCGGAAAACTTCTTCTAATCGATTTTGTTCTGCTAAAGTAGACTGTTCATTATTAGAATTATTTGAAATGATTTAGAGCCTCCAGTTTAAACCAAAAACGTGAAGTAAGAAATCTTTAAAGATGACTTTACTTTCTTAAATTGAGTAAACACATCAACTAGTATACTTTTATAAACCGACCATGTTTGTATACAACTTTCTTATCCTAGAAACGTAACCTATCCTTCGTTCTTGTATCTAATTCTGACGGAAAACTGTAGTTAGCCAGTATTAGGTAATTAATAAAATTATATTAACTATTGTGAGACATACTAAATTAACTAAAAATCGCTGGTTACTCACGTGAACATGCTGAGAAAACTCTACTAATTTCGAACCACA